GTGTGTGTGTGTGTGTGTGTGTGTGTGTGTGTGTGTGTGTGTGTGTGTGTGTGTGAGGTGTTGGGTTTCAGAGAGACAACAGCTGTGGAGGTGTGTGTGTGTGTGTAGGACTCGACTCCAGCTCTGGACCTTCATGATGTCTGAATGAAGGAAATGTGTGTAAAACGTTAGAACTGTGCTGTAAACATTAGCTTACACATGTTCTAAACGCTGTAAATATATTTAGCTAAATGTTATATTTAGCTAAAGCAACATGGRGTAGACCAATCACGTCTTGTCACATACGCTCTTTTTCCACTGGATTGTTTTCATTTATTGATTTTTTTTGATGAGTTTTATTGAACTGAAAGCAGCCAGGTCAATCAGCAGGTTTAGGATTTAGCAGAACAATGATTTTAGTGGAAGCTAAATGTGACGTTGGAACAAAAACTTAGTTCTGTTATTAGCAGAACGATGTCCACCAGTGGTAATTTAGTATTTCCATGAGGATAATGTGCTAAATAAGGTTTTTTTTTTCAATAAATACTGACGGAGATGTGACCAAGTTTAGACTTTTGCCCCCCTGTGTAACTGAGGTTGAGACTCCTGCTCTACGCTGATGACTTGTTGTTGTATATTTCTGTTGACAGCACGGCTCGAGACGAGCTCGTTAACAGTAATTGGCACTAATCAAAGCTGTGAGCTTTGGATCCTGGTGTGTCTTTCTTTACTCCTTCTACCTCCTGCCTTCACAGATGCAAATGAGTGTGCAGGACAGCCCTGCCTGAACGCTTATTCTTGCAAAAATTTGATTGGTGGATATCACTGCGACTGTTTCCCGGGATGGTTGGGACCGAACTGTAACATCAGTCAGTATTATTTTTCCTCCCTGCCCTGACAGTGACCCGTTCTTCCAGTAACATCACTGTACTTCTGCCTCCTCTCACTTGTTCAGCACTCAAACGTAGGCGTAGTTTAGCCTCTTTTACTTTCCCACATGTGGCAACTTGCTGGTTTTCCTGGCTTTAGCAAACTGAATCTGTGGCTCTGCCATGCATGCTGTCTAACTGCGAGGAGTTTTTACAGCTGGTTTGGCTTCGTTTCTTTTTCTTTCCAATCTTTGTTCTGATCTGTGAACTGTAGATTAATTTAACCCCAGAGATGAATTGAAAATGATTTCACAAATAAACTTCACCATGTTTCTTTCTCTTCAGACGTCAACAGCTGTCACGGTCAGTGCCAGAACGGAGCAACGTGCAAGGTATGGGTTTTCATTTTTAGATGGGGAACTGGATGAATTAGCAGATGATGGTCACACTTTTTAACTTGTTTTTAAATGTAACCTTCAGACCGGCCCGAGGGGTTACCACTGCCAGTGTCCTCCTGCCTTTAGAGGCACTCACTGTGAGATCCAGAGGAACTCCTGTGAGAGCCCACCCTGTCAGAACGGGGGGCAGTGCCACAAAGTGCTGGACGGCTTCGTGTGTGAATGCCCACCACAGTTTGGTGGCCAGCTGTGTGAGGTGAGTCCCTGCAACTATATACACAAACACACAACTGTATACTTTTATATTGTGCTTCCAAGGAGCCAGACTCTCTTTAAATGGTCTTTTTAAGCCTTTCTGCTGGACTTGATCTGCTGCTGAGTTTGACCTTTTTTACCAGCAGCTGTCACACAAAACTAGTTAATTTATTAAAAGAAAAACCAACGATACACTGTTAAACACACAACGCTCCCCAACAAGGTGATTCCCCAAACAGGAGACATTTCCACATCCTGTGGCAGCAGTTTGCAACAGTTTCCCCTTTTTTAATGAACTGTTCCAAATGGGAACACTCCAGTTTTTCAGCCTCACACTGCGTTTCAACGGTCGTCCTCTAAAAGCTTTGATGTACCACACCTGTTTTCATGCAGACGTCCAAAACACGACCTTTTGAAAACTGTTTTAGAACTATTACACACTAGCTGTGTTTGCACTGAAAATGTCCACAAAACTTTGTTGATATTCTGTTAATGTAGAAAAACACAGTTTCACAACTGCAGTGTTTCCATTAAGTAATAAATGTTCTTAAAGTCACGTGAATACGTTTGTTCTCA